ATGCTTGAAATTCATAGAATTTGAAGACATTGACAATGAAGATAATGAAGATCAAATATCCAATGCAATGTTTGCACCTAAGAATACTTCTATTGTAAGTTTTGATCAAAAAAGCAACAATTATGGTCTTGGATTTAATCCGTTCGAGAATGCTCCAGAATTTGTTGTACAATCAAGTATTAATAAAGGTACCTAATATTTTTATTACCAAGATGATTTTAAACTAAATTTATTGTAAAAACCACTACCGTTATATAACCTTATTTAGTCGATAGTTATCTCCATAAAAGTAGACCGAAAAGTTCTATCCCTATGCGAGGTATTTATTTATTTATTTATTTTTCAATTGGATTTTTTAAATAGTTGATAATAATTATTAATAAATTTATAATTTTGGTGCGATAGGAACCGGTGTTTTTGATGAAGAAGATGATGATGTGTATGGAGGAACATCAATGTCTGAATTTCATACTTCGTTAATGGATGAGGATGACGAAGATACCATAGTGATGGGAAGCAGGAAGTACACAAAAATGTCAACCCTATCTACAGAATCTTCAATGAAAAAGGTATTTAATATTTAATTGTATTTAATTCAATTCTTTAGAAAGTAATATAAATATTAAATAAAAAAAATTTTTTTTTATTAGTCATCATTTCTAGATAATAAGTTATGTCATGATGGGACTAAACCATTACAAGGGTTCATGTTAGCCAGGAATCCTCTTCCTATTGACAAATGGTAATTGGTGTAATAAGTTTTTATTCTGTTTGTTTATGGGTTCGTTTTGAATTATTTAATGAATCATTTTGTCATTACAGGTTCAGTCCACCAGAGCTACCTGCAGAATACGTTCCTCTTCATGAGTTTAACACTGAAAACCAATATGTCCAAGATGCAAATAAAAAAAATATAAGACAAAAACAGACTACATTAGCGATTGTTGCGGAACAGGTAATTGTTGAATATAATGAGAATATACGTCATATTCAAAATTATTTATTGTGCTAATAAATAGGATTTTCATATAGCGTGGCGCATTACTAGGTGAAACGCCTTTAAATGCACCTGCACGTTCTGTATTTGATTATGTGTCTCGAAAAGATAAAGAAAGATTAGATAGTATAATTCGACCAGTAATTGATACATTAGGTGACAAAAACACTAATAAACCTCCTGAAGTTAAAATTCCAAAGATAGAAAAAGATGTTGCTTTGGCTGCTTTGAAAGGGTTTATTCCTTTCGAGGATAATAAGAAAAAACAAGCGAGATACAAAAAATATTTAGAAATTCATGCAGAGTTAATAGCTCCTGAATTGTTAAAACAACCAGAGGTTTGTTAAAAAAGTCATATTATTTAATTAAAATTTGTATTTTATACACCAATTATTAAAACTTTTGTATCATTATTTGTAGGAATTAACTGCAGATGAATTTTCAAAAGAGCTAGATGAATTTTCTCAAGCGGCAAGAATATTTCGTCCAATGTCAAAAATGATTGCATCACGGTTCGTTACCAGTACATCACCTGCTGAAGAATTCAAACAGCCTACTCCTGGTCTAAGAGCCGGCGCTGGTGCTGGAGATGATTTAAATATTACCCCAATTAAGCAGAAAGACACAAGTCAACTTAACAATGAATCAACCGCAGAGGCTGCGGCAAGAATGAATATGTTTGGTCCACTTACGAGAACAAAATTAATGTTTTATCCAAGCAGACTTCTGTGTAAACGATTTAATGTAGCAAATCCGCATCCAGATCATGTACAAAATTCAACCTCTGGTAAGACCCAAAAGGGTCAGAAAGAAGCACTCAGCAAAGAGACGATGAATGAAATTCTCAATAAGCAAGATGCGCAAAATTTCCCAGGAATTAGTGCACCTGTGTCCGTATCCGAGACGAGTCGGGAACCTGAACCTGAACCTGAACCTGAACCTGAACCTGAACCTGAACCTGCACTTGATGAATCTAGTCAACTAGATGATATTGATCAAAAACCGTATACACGCCCTGCGATGGAACTATTTAAATCCATTTTTGGTGATTCAGGCTCAGAAGACGATGATGAAGACGCTCCAAAACATAAAAAAGTATATTTTCATATATGCAACATTTTAAGGCTTTTAAAATATCGATGTCATATTGACCTCTTTTTTTCTTATCCATATCCATAGCCCCCAAATCTAGTAATTGGCGATTCGGAGCCTCAAGATATGATCAGAGACAAACCACCAACACCTATTTCACATAATATAGATGAAGATGTTAGTGCTACACCGTTTAGACCAATGTTTAAAAAGAAATCCGATCGTGCAGGTGGGGATATACCTTCAGCTGAAATAGTGAAAATCAAATCAGAATCTAGTTCATCAAAGAGCAAGAACCAAAATATGAAAGGAACGTTATCATTCGACGATGACTCGTTCATTGGACCAACTAATTCCCGAAAAAAGAAGAAACGATCACACAAGAATGAAAGTGATGAGGATGAAAAAGAGAAAAAACATAAGAAAAAGAAGAAAAAACATAAATCTGACGAAATATCGAATGAAAGCGATGAGGATGAAAAAGAAAAGAAACATAAGAAAAAGAAGAAAAAATATAAAGCTGACGAAATATCTAATGAAAGCGATGAGGATGAAAAAGAAAGAAAACATAAGAAGAAAAAGAATAAAGCTGACGAAATACCGAATAAAGCTGATGAAACACTAAATAAATCTAATGAAAGATCATATAAACGCGATTTGATCAATATTCAAAGTATAAATACGCAAGCAGGTTCACAGTCTACATCTATAAATAGAACTAGAAATAGACCAAGGGCATCGGATCTGTGGTAGTTTCTTTTTAATAATTTGACAATAATTTGTTGTATCCGATTTTTTTGTAATTTTTTTTATTGTAAGCATATGTGCATTTGCAATAAAATACTGTATATATACATATAAATTAATTTTTTTTTATGTTTCGGAATTCACGAAACATAAACAAAACAAAATTTGTACTTATTCAAAAAAAAATGAATCATTTGTAATAATGAATAAACTTATTGTAACATGAAAAAATTTCAAGGAATTTAGTTGGAACGAACTTGGTTGTATATTCTATGTTTTTATATAATTGAAAAAAATGGGGTTGATATTTGCAAATATATTTTATATAACTATATTTTAATTATTAGGTAAAGATTATTAAAGTTCTGAGAGATTGATTAATTTGATCAGAGCTTAGGATTTGGGTGTGGACAAAACCCAAACTATAATAGTTTAAGGTCACGGTAGTGATGAAAGTGTCATCATCCAATTTGACCATATAATTATCCCTCTAAGCGTATTCAAATTAATGAATGCTTATTGACGTCATAACAAGACAAGACGCGCATGCTTAGCAAACCAATTGAAATATTCAACGTTTTCCTTCGTTAAAATTTTATGTTTTCTTGGTATTCAAAATAACTACATCCTTGCACATTTTAGACTCTTATCCATATATTCATCCTTTGGCA